CTCCTTCTCTACCTGTGTGCCAATAACGTTATGGTATTTAAATATAAGTAATATAGATTGGCCATTCAGCAGATGAAAGCTGAAAACTTTGATTGCCAGCTGGAAAAAACTGTGGCCAGAATCAGCGCAAAACCGACCGGATGCTTTACGAGATCCATCGCTCTGCCGCAGATCCAGCTGTGAATCTCACAGGGCAGCTTGGAGGAGACGATTTAATGACATGACTCCGGTCTTGTGCGAAATTCTGTTCCCCTGTGAAAATCTGTTCCCCCTGCATCGGGAGCGCGCAGGGGGGTAGACTACTCAAGACCTCGTTTATTTATTTATTGTTTTTATTTTGATAGCTGCCGATTAAACTGAAAGTTACAACATTGACATGATTATATGAGTAGTTTTTACCGAGAAATCGATCAGAAGCGCCGTGAAAATGGTCAGATCCGCCGGATCCACTTCTCTGGCTGCAATGCGCGCTCCCGACACAGGGGGCAGATTTTCACAGGGGAACACGCACATCCGCTGATCTGAAAACAGGTTTTGTTCTTTGGTTTCAATGTAGAGTATTTAATTATGCTGTATAATAATTGTAAAAACGAAAGGTAACTACTTAGCGGATTTCACTTATCGAGGGTTATTTTCGGAACGCAACCCCTAAGAAAAACGAGGGATCACTGTAATATTAATTGATACTAATTAAGTAAGTATATGCTTACTTAATTAGCTGTAATATTTTTTACCACTTATGACGACAAACCTTAAGCTATCCAGTGACTTTAAGACACGTTTAATTTTTTTAGACTCTATCTTTTAAACTTCCTGTAGCTGCTAACTGTGTCGTATGCTAATGCTAATTTATAGCTTAACAGAACCAATTTCTTTTTATTTGCCCATACTTTTACCAGACCAGACAATACGCTGACCTATGTGCAGTTTAAGTTGTTACCAATTATTCTGAAAGTCTAAACTTTAGTTAACAGGAAATTAGGAACTTTTATAATATGTAGTGTAGAAAGTTCTACCCAACATGTTGTAAATTATATTTTATATCAAATGCTTTCTTTATATACTGAACAAAATAAACGCCCCATGTCCAATGGGCTCTTTGGTACGGCGTTGACGTCACATCTGCATGATCCAATGCGGCTCACTTGTTTCCGCTTTGAGTTACCATGACAACTAGAAAAGACAAAGTCGTATTTCAGACGCAGATAAAGCAATACTATGAACATTGTTGTCTTCCTAATATAATGGGCTTTTAAGCTTTCATTAATTTCCAAACAATCCTGAATTAAGAAGATGGTGGCTTGTAAATATCCGTTGCTACCAGTTAAAGCTAACGCTGCACAGCAAAGTTTGCAGCCTTCACTTCACTCCGGATCAGCCTAAAAATACGAGGGACATGGATGGTAAATAAAGGAGCCTCCCTGAGTTATTTCCATGGAATCACTTCTATATTCAGCCTGAAAGAGTTTATGGGAACGAGAGAGCAGACCAGAGCCAGACAGTTGAACAACTGATCCGCCTGAACACAATGCTGTAAACACCGTCCTATCTGAGCTCTTCACAAGAAACATGCAAAGGTAATAAAACGAAATAACACGGAGACATGAAGCAACATATTTTTCTAAAAGCAGCAACTTTGAACCTGAACAGCTGAACCAGATCTCTGACACCAGAGCTGCGCTACTGTCAAGCTATGAGGCTTGTTGAGCTCCGTCAGGCTTCCGAACCGGAACCTCCCCGTCAGTCTCTGACACTAACGACAATAAACACACAGTATACTGGAAAATAAGGCACAAACATTGTCCGTTAGAATGCTTAGATTCTTAAATAGCACATTTTTACAAGAACAATGTCAGAGAATATTGCCTACTAGCATAAGCCAAAGTAAAACTCACCTTCGTGTCCGTGAATATAACGAGGCGAACATCTTAACCTTTCTCCAGCTGACTTGTTGGGGCTTCGGATCGATGTTCATCATCGGCCAAGCCCTGCAGCACCTGGTGAAATGACATTTTCAATAGATCGGAAACGACCCCGAACGCGGAATGAACATTTGCTGACATTTTATTGTACCAAACTAATATTTCTCTTGGTTTGTGTATAATGTTTAGTCCAGTTTGCTGTCAGTGAGCATCACTCAGTTATTTACTCAGTGCATTGTGGGACATGTCCACTGGGTAGATGAAAACAACTGGACAATAAAAGGCCCCAACACGTCACATGATGTCTCCAGTCATAAAGCCTCAGATGTTCTGTGGAGCCGTTGGCGTGTTGGATGCAGGACGTCCAGCACAGCAGCAGCTCTGGTATCGGACCGCCGGCCGTTTCAGAGCTGGTTTCCAACAGACTGCAGCTCCTCCTCATCCTCGTCTGACCGCCTCCAGATCGTCCATCGGAGGATCGGCTCAGACCAGCGACACACAGCTGATCGGTCTGAACAACAGACGCATCAGACTGTCTGTGACCGCTACGGGAAGCCGACTGGGTCAGAATCAGACTCCTCATCCTGACCCCGATCATGACTGTTAATCTGCTACAAACGGCCGAACCACGATGATATCAATGCCGATATGAAGATCAGTAATTACTGAAAATA